TATACTAGAATTTTAATAGATGTTTCTTGATCTCACAGGCATATTCTCTTGTGGATCGTGAGGTTGGTTATTGTCAGGGCAGTGCCTTCATCGTAGGATTGCTACTTATGCAGGTTTGCTTCTGCGTTTTGCTTATCATAATGAACTAAAGTAAGATAAAGAAATGTCTGTAAGCCAAACTTTGCATACTCCAAATTCATCATTCATTGTGTGTTTGTAGATGCCGGAGGAGGAGGCCTTCTGTGTGTTTGTCAGACTAATGCAGGAGTACAGGCTTAGAGAGTTGTTTAAACCCAGCATGGCTGAGCTGGGTCTGTGCATCTACCAGTTTGAACACTTGCTACAGGTAAGGAGTACTTTATAGAATCCAGGCTAATAAAAATGTGCGTATAATGTTGGAGGAGCATTCAAAGAAAAAAGGCATTATAGACTGTTTGATAATGGAGTGTATAGACTTTACTATGAAAAATGTACTGTTGTAAAGAGAAAGAACTCTCTTTGTGAAAGAAATCTCTTGTGCTCACTAAGACTGCATTTATTTGATAAAAAAAACAGTAATATTGTGAAATATTATTACAATTTAAAGTAAGTGTTTACTAATTTAATGTTGAACATGTTGAAAACAGTTGTGCTATTTAATATTTTTGTATAAACAGTGATCAATTTGTAAGAAGAGCATTAATTTGTAATTTTTTTTTTTTGTAACATTATAAATATCTTTACTGTCACTGATATGTGGGCCAAAATATGACTTAAGAGGCACACGTGATTTTTTTATTGTTGTGAATTTAACAATGATTAGACACAGATGGTTTCTTGTATATATTTCATACTGCATGTCAAGATGCCTGGAGTAATGCCTTGTTTGTCCACAAGGAGGCAACAGATTTAAAGTGCTTAGACACAGTCGATAGGCAATCCATTTGCTTCTTCTCAAAAGCATTTTTATCTAATGTCTTTCACAGTATAGTTTTTTTTTTTTTTTTGCTGGTGTCATGTTTTTATCTCTGTGATCAGGAACAGTTGCCGGAGCTGAACGTTCATTTCCGCTCTCAGAGTTTCCATACGTCTATGTATGCCTCGTCCTGGTTTCTTACACTCTTCCTCACCTTCCTGCCCCTGCCAATAGCTACACGTATCTTTGACATCTTTATGTATGAGGTATGGACACCAGAGATTTTGTGTGTATTTGCGTGTTGCTGACTTGACTGTATACTTTGGACCAAATGTTCCCGGAAGTTAGCAACATCTGAAAAACTCAAAAGGACAAATGGTTGTTTTTATAGTTGCACTATGACCTAATCAACCTGAATGTGCAAAGAACACATTTTAGTGTACTATAATGAAAATGTAAAATGTTAAGGTTTGTGTGAGGCTAAAGTGAAAGGGTAAAGTCAATATTATTGCAAGAGTAAAGTCAATGGAAAGTCACCACCATAATATATAAGCACTATCAAGTGCAGAATTGTGTGTACTGTATGTGTTGCATGCAGGTTTTCAGTTTTTCTCAAAGGTGTGAATGCATCTAGGGGTTGTAAGAACTTATTAGAGAAATTAATATAGTAGGGTGTGAGCATTTGTTATAGTTGTTAGTCTGTGATTGTATGAATACGGTGTGTTGTGCTCTCAGGGTTTGGAGATCATATTCCGAGTTGGAATAGCAATATTGCAGTACAACCAGACAGACCTCATACAGCTAGACATGGAGGGAATGTCACAGGTTAGAGGAAAACCATCTCTGCTGTGTACATCAATATGTTATACATGCAACAACATAAACAACAGCAACACTTGATGTTTGTTTAACAATCTCACCACAGCACTTTCAGAAGGTGATTCCGCATCAGTTTGATAGCTGCCCGGATAAGCTGATCCTACGGGCTTATCAAGTCAAATACAATCCCAAAAGAATGAAAAAGTGAGTGATCTGAAAATTTAGTGATATGTGAGTAAAAAGTAAAGGGAGATTCACAATAAATAAAAGAAAGTTTAGTGCTTCTCCAAATTCAGTTGTTGTCTTTTCATCCACAGGTTAGAAAAGGAATATACCACTATTAAGAACAAAGAGATGGAGGAACAGATTGAAATTAAGGTCTGTATATGTGTGTTTAGATATAATAACACATATGTTGCTTAAAACCTAAACTTGGTTCAGCTAGATTGGTGACTAACATGTAAATTTTGTTTGTACGCACCCAAATGGCTTTATCCAATGATATTTCTCTTGAGCTTCATTAAGGATAAAATTTTACTATAAAAAAATATGTATGTACCTTTGCTGTCATTAAATGCCCCGTTTGGGTTTGATTTATAAATAAATATTTCATACAAAAGGTCTTTCTCCATAATTTACTTATAGATATTAAAGTATTCAACATTTTTGGTAATTAAAATAAAGCTTAAATAAATTAATATAAAAATTTGATGAAAAACATAATTTTCTTTATATTCAATTTCTTTTCTGTTTTAAATATTTAAAATATTTCTTGCCCTTTCATTTTAACAGAGACTACGTACAGAAAATAGACTACTGAAGCAGAGGATTGAGACACTGGAAAAAGTGAGATGGTTTCTTCAAACCAATATGCATGAACCTAAAATAGAAAACCTTGATTAGTTTGTGTTTGTGTAAACAGTGTAAATATATTTATTATGTGAGTCATGTAAATTTTTGAGCATGTAGATTTTCAGAGGCTCAGCTGTATTGCCTCCTTCCTAATGGTAATTTTTTTTTAAGTCTCATCTCTTTTGTTTTTATCTGCCTTCCTCTGTTGAAATTACTTCCCCCACAATTTTCTCATTCTGTACTTTTATATGTTTTATACTTTTACAATCCTTCACCACTTGATTTTTTTCCTACCCAACTTTTAAAAATGTTCCCTTTTTCTTCTCTTCACGTGTGTCTGTGGTCTTCCACACCTTTTTGCTCATCCATTGTTTCCTTTATTTTCCCCTGTTCTTTCTGTCCATATTTTCAACATTTTCTTTCTTCTCTCTGTCCCTTTCTTTCCTTTTTTCTTCCTTTTCTTGCGGTGTTGTAGGAGAGTGCTGCATTAGCAGACAGGTTGATTCAGGTACAGTACTGTCAAGCCATCTTCTCACTAATCCCTCCTGCCTTTCCTCCTCCCATTACTCAATCATATGCTTCTTCTCTTCGACCTTCCTTGATTCCTCCTATAATCCACTTTTTTCCTGCCCCTGCGCTGCCTCCTCCACAAAATTCTGAGAATGGGCCTGTTGCATGAAAAGTGGTTATTTGTTTTTCTGTGTTTCTCATCACTGCCTTGACAGCTCATTTGTCTGTATGGCTGTAACAATGTCTAAGAGGTACTCCAAATGAAAGTTAACCCTGACACTCTCTGCCGGCAGTTTAGCCTTGCATGTGGGATGTGGAAGCATAGGTGTGCATCAGGGTTCTGTATTAGGTCCGGTGGAATTTTCAGATTTTATCATGTAATTCATCAAATTCCAAACTTCAGTGGGATTCTTTTGATTCTTGAATTGATCAGGTTTCTTCTTTGGTTTTATGAAGCAGATTTATCATTGCATGTAGCCCGTCTCATCACTTTGATTGGAATGTCATACTTATCTCCCCTTAACCGCAAGTTAAAAGACAAATCTCTCAAGAAGAAACTTACGCTATTTCTCTTCACTCAGGGTCAGGTTACACGAGCCCAGGAGGCAGAGGAGAACTATGTTATTAAGCGTGAACTGGCTGTGGTTCGGCAGCAGTGTAACACAGCCAGTGAGAGTCTGGAGAAGGCGCAGGACACCATACGTGAACTTCAACAACACAAGGTAACAGCAGATGCATAGCTACAAGTTGGGTTTCAGTGCTGAGACTATTTTTGCTGCACTCAGCTGACCTCAGCAGAAAATATTGCTAAAATGCTACACAAACATTTTCATTAAGTCTTTTTAAATATAGCCTTTTATGGAACTACATTAACTGCTCACCCATCGTTTGAAAAAGATGTCTGCCACTGCATGTGGAACATGTGGCACAAAGCCCAACAGACACACAAAGAGCACTTTCTGTTCAGCAAGTCTGATTGAATATGGATGATTTGGGCAGTTTACCTAAGTTCACATTAACCATTTTAGAATTTATGACTGTTATTTAGTGAAATAATCAAGGTAGTAACCCAGTAAGCTCTGAAACACTGTCAGCGTGAAAGCACTGCAAAGTTGGCCTGTTCTCCCGGTTATGCTTTATCACTGCTTATGTGTGCAGTGTGAAACAGACACAACAATCACATCCCTTGACCAAAAACAACAAAGTTTATTTCTAGCTGAAAATCAACTATAGCTTGACTTCATCCTTTTGAGGGTACCTCCTAATAAATTATTATTAAACTGAAAAGTAAGCAGTTGATTATGAGGAAAAATTCTCTCTTATAAAGTTGCAATGTGAGATGCAGTTTACCAGAAAACTGAGCAAAGTCACATGTCATATAAACATGTTTTTATTTTTTGAACCATCTTTATGTTTGCTGTACACATGGCTGCAGACTGTGCTTAGTCAAAAGATCTGCTTTCACACGGCAGAATTACCCTAAACTGGGTCACTGACAGGTCAGTGATTATTTTCTGGTAAGATTTATGAAAATGACTGTTGGTAGCAAGTTGACTGTTTGAAGCCATCATTATAATTTAAATTCTTTCATCATCCTTACAAGTTAAAAGAATGGATGTCAAAGCATCGATATCTAGCAAATGGGGTATTGTGGTTTTTTCGTTTTGGTGTCAATGGCATGTGTGAGAAGATGTCAGGGTGTGGTGTGTGTCATGTTGAGTGTGAGCTGTGACCCCGCGAGTGTTCGACACTCAGAGCAACACTCTCTGGTCATATGCATTTTCCTGTGTTACACTCAGGATTGACCACCGTCCTGTAGCAGTGCTGATGTCAACAGAATTAGTGTACCATGTGCAGCTAACAGCTAAGCTTTTTGTAAGCTGTTTTTTCTTATATTCCATATTTGTGTTACTTGTAGCTGGGGGTTCAAAGACTCGTAGTTGATCTGTGATCTGTACTGACCAGGCCCCGCGGTTCAGCATGCATGTGATTCATGAATTAGTTTAACCATCGTGAACTGATGCATGTGTTTCTAAGTCTTGCCAATTTAAACATTCAAGTTTAATTCATTTTAAACCATTTAAGTGCAAGAAGAGGCAAAAGAGTTTGGTACTTGTGCTGTTTTCTGTGCACACACGCTCAAAAAGCGCACACGTTTCAGATGCGAAAATGCAGCATTCAGTTCTCCCTCTGGCAAAAATCTGCATGTGCTCGTCATTGAAATACTCACACGTCACTTCTTTTATACCAGTTATTGAATTGTTTTACAGAGTTCTACATTTATTCTTGTTTTTTTCTGTAAAATAAAAAAAAAAGAAATTTACCAGGGAATTGAAACCAGGGATTTAGGCGCTGAGTGAGCGTGAGTGTTTATGCTGCTTATTCGACCTAAATCTGCTGAATTTGGTTTCATTACCCAGAGCAAAGGGGCTCGCTGTGGTTGATTTGAAATGTTATTTGTGGTCTACATTTCACATCCTCTTTTAACACACACACATATATATGCATACTGACCTATACGATTTAATTTTAATTTACAATTGTTATGGTTTAGTAAAATGTCAAAAGTAGAGTCTGGATCTCTGGCAGTGCTTGTTTTCTCTTGTGAAAGGTTCATTTCCGCTGTGCTTTGCTAACTGGAAAGGAAAGCGTTTGGTTTTTAGCTAAAAGTCCAGTCCTTCTGTTAAGATTTTTCAAGTACACAGAGGTAGAATGAGCGAGAGTCTCTGTGATTGAAACATCTGAGTAATACGGGTATGATGAAGTGACTGGAAAGCATGGAGGGAGGTAAGAAAAACAGAAGTAAAAGTCCGTGGGAACTAGTGTTCACACAAGTCTCCAGGGCAGGCCACAGCCCCCTCTGGTAGGCCACAGTATATGCACACAGAACACAGCAGAAGCACAGTCACATCAACACTGCTGCTTCAGTAATAGATAATGCTAAAATTAACTAAATAAATTTCCAGATGCACATCTGTTGCTATGAGTAGACACTTACAGAATGACTTGTTTTTCATACATAATCTTAAAATTCTTTGGAAATGCGAAAGAGGCTGAAATTGTTATTTTATGACGTAAGGGTCTAGAGGCCTACTGTGTTACAGTAATATTAAGGGCTGTTTTTAGACACACACCTTGGCTGGCTTATACCTTTAACTGAATGGTGGCAAACAGTGATATTAATAATGTAACACCAATGTTCAAATCATAAGAAATTCTTCCACCAATAATATAGTTCATCAGTCTAACTATAGACTCTTAATGGTTACCAAGCAACATTGGCACAAAATATAGAATAGATCACATTAGGGACCACATACTTCTCCAGCATCATTGAATTCAGAAGAATTTGTCCCATTTTCTCCATAAGGACTTAAATACTTCATTTAAGAGGTATATAATCCATAAATTAACCAAATCGTCTGTGAAATGCACATTACAAAAGTTTATAAGACTGTAGCTATACTTAATGTCTTTTATAAGATAATGAAGTACACTTTATTAAACCCATTAAACCTCCCATGTTGCGTGCGATTGAAGCCTGTACAATATGAAACTATTGACTTATAGTCATTGATTTTAAGTATAAAATGCATTTTACAAATAGCAAAATATTAAAATATACAAATAAATAAGGAGTTTGAGAGTGTAGGAAGACTTGATCCTGATTGAGTCGTTTACAATTTTAGACATTAACAATGCTACACACAGGAGGAACACTGCTGAGCTCTTTTGGCATGGCTCTTGTTGGCAAAAGAAAACTTCTGATTAATAGATTGGTTTTCATGATTTCTCCGAAGGATGATCTCTTTTCTGTGTTGTTGGAGCTCATATTAGAGCTGTTATAAAAGGTTTATTGTTAAAAATCTGTTGAAAAACTGTGGATACATTTTTATTAGTTCAAGAAACTGCTGCATTCTGTGAAGAAATGCCTTTTTTGTAGAATTTAGCTTTATTTTGTGTGTGTGTGTACCTGGTATTCCCTACATTATGGGGAATGTCCCCATAAGGATAGTAATACTAGTATTTTTGACCTTGTGGGGACTTTTTTGTCCCCATGAGGAAACAAGCTTATAAATCATACAAAATTAAGCTTTTTAAAAATCTAAAATAGCAGAAAGTTTTGTGAGAGGGGTAGGGTTAGGGTAAGGGACTTGAAATTACAGTTTGTACAGTATAAAAACCATTACGTCAATGGAATGCCCACATAAACAACATGGAAACCTGTGTGTGTTTGTGCGGAATCCTTATATCTGTTACACTATGTTTAGCAATGAGTGAATGTGATGTAATGGCAGCCATTATAGCCTACTCTGCAGTCATCAGTGTTTCAATCCATTTTGTCTCTCCGTCTGCAGTATACAGAGGAGTTTGTGAGTGGGCTGCAGACTCAGTTGGAACAGTCTCGTCTACAGGAGGCAGAACTACTTGGTGCTCTGAAAGAAATGCAGGACAAAGTACTCGATCTGGAAAAGGTGTGTGCATGTGTGTCTTTGACTCTTCAATAGAAATGTTCAAGTATGAAATGAAATTTTTGCCTCAGTGGTGATGATACGGCTTGAGCACATACAAATGATAAGTGAAACAGTTTTTTTTTAACTATAGAAAACTATTTTCTATCAAAGCTTTTACTGTATGATCCTGAAGTGTAGTGCTTAATGGAATATTGTATGTGTGTTACAGAGGAACAGCTCTCTGCCTGATGAAATCAATGTAGCTCAGCTGCAGGAGGAGCTGAAGCTTGTGAAACTGAGAGAGCAGGAGACTCTGCGCTCCTTCAGAGAGATGCAAGAGGCTGTTACTGATCTCAACCACTGCTGGCAGGTGCAGAATCTCTGTACAACCCTACCTAACTCAATTGTTTTGGCATTCATAAAAAAGTATGAATTTCTGGAAGGCAAAAATGGATCGATAAAATTCCTTTCTGCGGCAAGATGCTTTGTTGGACCCTCTACTGGTCCACAAATCAAATTCTTTGCAAACCTTATTTTCTATCACAGCATCATACATCTCGTGGAGGAGGAGGAGGCCACTGGAAAGAATCTCCTAAAAAGAATGCGATGAATGAGCTACAGGACAAACTGATGAGTTTGAGACTGCGAGAGGCTCAGGGTCAAGCTGAACTCAAAGAGGTCAAACTTAAAAACCTGCAGCTTGAAAGCCAGGTTAGAACTACAGTGTCTGTTTTATTTATTCGTTTTAGTTTTGGTTATTTTAGTAATTCAATTTAAACCAAATTGAGAAATGTTGACTTGCTAACTAGCTGAAAAATAAGTTTAAAGGGTTAGTTCACCCAAAAATGAAAATTCTGTCATTAATTACTCACCCTCATGTCATTCCAAACCCGTAAGACCTCTGTTCATCTTCGGAACACAATTTAAGATATTTTTGATGAAATCTTGAGAGCTCTCAGACTCTCCCATAGACAGCAAGGATATTACCACGATCAATGCACAGAAACGTAGCAAGGACATCATTAAAATAATCCATGTGACATCAGGGGTTCAACCGTAATTTTACAAAGCTACAAGAATAATAATAATAACATAATTTATTCAGCCATTCTTTTCTCCGAGTTACCATCTTCCTCCATTTTAGAGAGTACTCTAGAACGTAATCAACGTAATCAGTGTTGTTTACGTTCATTAGACAGCGCACACATGCTGAATGTAAACAACACTCATTACGTTGATTATGTTCTGGGGTACTCTCCAAAATGGAGGAAGATGGTAACTTGGAGAAAATAATTGCTGAATAAATTATGTTATTATTGTTTTCTTTGCGCACAAAAAGTATTCTCGTAGCTTTGTAAAATCATGGTTGAACCCCTGATGTCACATGGACTATTTTACCGATGTCCTTGCTACGTTTCTGGACGTTGATAGTGTTAATTACATTGCTGTCTATGGGAGGGTCAGAGGGCTCTCGGATTTCATCAAAAATATCTTAATTTGTGATCCGAAGATGAACAAAGTTCTTACGGTTTGGAACGACATGAGGGTGAGTAATTAATGACAGAATTTTCATTTTTGGGTGAACTATCCCTTTAAGGGTTTTTTAAAATGTTTATTTCAATCTTATTTTATGTTGAGTAATTTTTTTTTTTGTTTGTTTTAGTTAACAGGAATAACCCTGGCCTGTATATGGAATTCAGTATGTAGCAATACACATAGCATATAACAATATTTATTTATTTTTATTTATTTATTTAGTCATTTATCAGACGCTTTTATCCAAAGCAACTTACAAATGAGGACAACAGAAGCAATCAATAGTATTAAAACAACTAAAAACAGATCCAAAACAACTACATATGTGTATGTACAACCATACACACATACATATATATACAGTGTATACATACACATTTATAAATTCAATATATACATTATTTCATTTCCATTTAGTTTGTTGAAGTATTAAAATAACTCAAATTAAATAAAACTAAAAACTTAATAAAAGACCTATACAGACATAATAAATTCAGACATAATTTAACTAAAATTAAAATAAATAGCAATATAGCAATGAAGCCACAGTTCTCTTGTAACAAATTAGTGTGTACTCTAACTAATCATGCATGCATGTTTATTTGTACATAAAACTCGTATGTGAATATTTTAATGCAAAAATCATGATGCCCTTGTTGTATTTTTCAGAATGTAGGATAAAGTTTTACAACCAAACATACACATTTAAAATTCTCAAACTTTTCTCTCTTTTTCCAAAGAACCAGATCAACTGTAAACTAGTTGTCAGACATGAGCAAGAGAGCGCCAGCCTGCAGGAGAGACTGCAGAATGCTCTTTCTCACAACAAAACACTACAAAGCCAGCTCAACGAAATGAAGAGAAAGATGGCGGAGTCTGACTGCAAGGTGCAGTGCATTCACAGCCACACAGTACAGGAAGAACAGATAACTGACTATTCAGTGAGATAAACAGTAAATGGGATGTGTCATATATCAATACCATATTATTTATTGGCTAGCTTGAGACATTTTTTCAGTGTCATTGGTTGATATTGAATATTTAATTGTACTCATTTCCTCTATTTTTAATTAATTAAATGTTCATTTCCTCTATTTTTACATTCAGTTTAGCTTTGCTTACCGCACTTAACACTGTAAAAAAAAATTTTTTTTTGAAGTTGCAAATTAAATAAAAATGATTGTACAATTACAGTATGCTTTACAAGAAAATACGATTTCATTTTCTCTACTTCAAAATAAACTTCACAAATATTTTTTTTCAGTGTAGTCTTTAAAGTATTTCATCTCAAAAAAAACTCTTATAACTTAATAAACATCCCTTTTTTCATACTGTACTTTATATTGCTGTGATAAATTCATTTGTAGCATTTAAAATAATTTATCTTAGTTTTTATAGCTTTATTTTTTATTTATTTAGACAAAATAGTATACATTTTCTGTTATTTATCTTTCATCTGACATCAGACATGAAATAATTATTACCTTACCAGTATTAGCCAGGATTTTAATATCAGTGCATCACTAGTAAATAGACATAGTAAGACTTCAGCTGAATTAGCGTTTATAGATTAATGCATGAATTAGAATTTAGAATTTTTTTGTAATTTTGCTGTCTTTCTTTCAGAGCAAAGAAGAGGTGATGGCGGTCCGTCTAAGAGAAGCTGACTGCATGGCCGCTATGGCTGAACTCCGACAAAAGATAGCCGAGCTAGAAATACAGGTGAGAAATATCATCCATATCTATTCACCAAGTCCATAAAACTTCATAAAAGTTCTGTCAACCATTATATTAGCATTGTATTATTATATTACCCTATTATATTAGCGCGAAAAAGCAAAACGAATATCGGACGCGATGACGTGCTGGAATAAAAACAATAGATTTCTATGGATGCTTCCACATAGACCGCGAACATTCGTGCATCGAAAATGCGAATGTTTTTTTTCACACCAGTCCGACGAATCTTTTCAGTTTCGCAAAGCGAAAACACGGGCCGTCCAATAAGATTTGAGCTAGGATCACGTGACCGTAGCAGCTGCTGTTGCACAAAAGGGTGAGAGTAGTGGCGCTGTTTGCAAAACCAGTGAAAACAAACACAGAAGAAGGGTATCCTGGATAAGAGAAGAGAGTGGATGCTGAGTTCTTGTTATCGTTGGTATTTGAGAATGGATTTATTCTCACATGTTCTTTATACAGAATAACATTTCTATTAATTGCCCACTGAATCATGTGATCTGTAGAGCACCGTCCGTTTTCTTCCACGTGCGCGAATGTTATGAGTCAGAGCGCGTTCACTCTTTTTCTTTTTAGGATGTAGCCTATTCTTGTAAGCATTATAGATAGTTTGTTTCTAGTGTAGAACCTTGTTTATATTAATTTAATGCTGTATATTGAGCAGCGGATGATGTTAAATCCATTTACGAGATACATATCTGAGGAAAAATGCATTGTTGGTCGGCGCCACCTAGCGTGCAGGCGTGAATTAGCAGAAGGCAAACAATCGTTTCGCGTTCGGTGTGAAAGCACCGTTCGTCGGCGATTCGCCTCGCTTTTCCGCATCGCGCTCAGTGTGGAAAGGCCTTAAGAGTGTGTATGTATTGCCTGCAGAAAGAGGAAGGATTGATCCAAGGCCAGCTGAATCACTCAGACTCCAGACAGTATATAACTCAACTGAGAGAGCAGATCGCTGAACTCAAGAACGAGGTGAGGCTATCACATAGAAACACACACACATACATGGCATGCACTAGTGTACTATCTGTCACAGTCTTAGCACTTGCATCACAATCTGTGATCAGAAAAAAAATCCATAACGTTCGCAACCCACACTGTTTTCAGTCAAAAGATTCCCATGATCCCAAGTTACTACACAAACCTGGTTTCTCCTCTTCTTAAAATGGCTTTTATCCCAGTTAGTATGGCTTTTTTATATATTTTATAATCTAAATCTTTCCATCTGCACTTGGTCACCGTTCTTATTAGTACGCTCTGAGCGGTTACCTGTGTACTCCGTTTTAAAGTGGTATTATAGTGCTTTTCTTGGCACGTGGGACCTTCCCTAACCACAATAAAAACCACTCGAAAATCTTTTTCCCCATTCCCCCCATTTGCCCTCACACACACAGATGGCTTTGATGGTTTGATACTGTGGTGCTTACCCACGCACCCAGTCACAGCTCGATCTCACGCACTTCTTGTGATGATCTTGCTCATTTGTAGAAAAACCTTTCGTGACAGGGGGTGTGAGAGTGTGTTGACATTCTCTTTCTCTTGTATTTATTTCCCTCCCTTTCACCTCTCTGTTCACGTATCACTCTGTCTCTCGTCTCTCGTTTTCATCCCTCTTTTCGTTTTGATTTTGTCATCGTCACTCACGTTTCCTCTCGCTCGATTTCTTTGCTTGTGTCAGTGTTTACATACAAATGTGAAGTGATTATGCTCCAGTTTCATGGTTACTGTAATCACTGAGTTGAGATGCATTGTGGGTGCTTTCAAAGGACGGATTTTACATCAGCGTTTTACATGTGCTCATATTCAACCACGAAATCAGGTCGCCATATATTCGATAGTGCCAAAGACTTTGCTAAATTTTTGATCAAAACAAAAGAGGCTCCTAATCTAATATAACACAAGATGACGGAGAATTTTAGAAGAAGTTTAGAAGTTTTTTCGTATTTATTTTGTATTTCAACAGTATAAAATAACTGATGTTTTAAATATTTTAGATTTTATTAGTCAATATTTTATATGGGGGTAAATGTCTGTTTTAATGTTTTGTTATGTATATATGTAGTAACTAGCTCATTTTTCATTTACCGAAAACTATAATGAGTTGTGATATATCAGTTTCTGTGATATATTGTGTTTATTAGTGCTGTCAACTAATTAAAATTTGCCATGAAATGCAAGTTCTTTTTTTTATTATTAATCGCTATTTATCCCATATATCAATATTTACAATCCCCCAAATTAGAGCATTCAGAGATGTTACATTATGGAGGCAGACAAACACACTGAGCAGACTTTTGGTAGATATATATATATATATATATATATATATTTATATATTTATATGTGTGTGTGTGTGTGTGTGTGTGTGTGTGTGTTTTATTGCCATATCATTAAACATAAACACCAGTCACTAGCCTACAGTTCACAACCATCCATTTCCATCCAGGAGTAGATTTAAAGGCCGTCCACAGAAAGTGTTCTTGTGTTCCATTTTTTATTTTTTATTTTTTGGTTTATTTATTGATCTTTGTACGTGTGTAAATGGAGATTCTCTGGGCACTGTTGCATATCTTGCAGTTTTTCAGTATTTCAGCACTGAATGTGCTTTTCATTAAGATTTGTGAATGTTTCATTAACAGTACTTTTTAAAATCTCGGTGATGTCCTAATTCGGAAGTGCTGTGCACTGACTTTTGCTCTGTGGTTTTGACTGAAACGAGATCAACCAGACAGAGGAAGTGAGAGGTGGGGCTTGTGTAGATGATTGTCTCAGGACGCTTTTCCATTGGTTAACCACAGCCCCTCCCACTCCCACACTCGCAAATTGCTAAAGCACTTATTGGGAAACCCATGACGTTTCAGATCTGAGATTTTAGCATAATACCTGTCTTAGGCTCTCACGAATGTTAGGACACACACGCAAACACACTCACTTAAGCTCACTGACTCAGAAGGGAAGATCTGAAATGAGAGCAAAAAATTGTGGTCCATTTCTGTCACGCAAGAAAATCCACTGACTAAATGATTCACACACTTCCATAGTTGCAAAACATATTCACCAGTGCACATATAGATTTTAACATACAAATGATACCACAAATTTAAAATGTCAAAAACAGCCTTGTAAATAGTCTTGAAGATGGGTATGGAGCCAAATCAAAATAAAAAAATGTAGATACTTGTAGGTAAAAAAAAACAAAAACAGGTAAATAAAAATCTTGCATTCTTACTTTAACATGACTTTTTCAGTGCAAACTTTTAATTAGATAATTTGTGAATTAATTAAAACTGATTTTTTTATTAAACTTTCTCTACTATTTCTTTTATTTGCAGTCCAAATATGCATGTAATCTGTTTAACATCAAAGTCTCAGTAAAAACAGCTCTTAATCAATTTAATCCACAGCGTATTTAACACAGAAATAAGATTGACAAAGTGATCTCGACCTCAGTGCATGTTCATACTTTGCTCTAAACTTTCTGATATTCAGTGATTAAATTCTACATCAGCACATTTTATTAATCACCACTTGTTGCTATGGAAACATACCAACTTGTTGCAGGCAGTTTAGTGGAATTACTGTGACAATTCAGGTTAAGTGGGGTAAATGTATGAAGAGTGCCTTTAATGTTAGTGTTTATATTCTACTGAAAACTAAAGGAATGTGATGCTTAGAAAATCAGTGCTGTTCCCGGTTCTGGAATACCTTACTGTTATTTTCCGTTCTTTTTCTATTCTTTTTTTTATTTCTTTATAGATCAGAAGAACATGTTCATCTTATCTTGCTGTGACTATACATGATATGAAGGCTTACTTCCTTTTAAACTTCCTTAGTATTCAGTTATTATTGTCAGCATCTGTTATCTCTTCATGTAGTCCAGAGTGATGCTCAAAACCTTCCATTGTGGACAACAAGCCAGTTTTACCCTTTAAGCTAAATAATGAAGCTTATAAGACACGTTTTTTCTTTTTATATACTTCAGACATCTAGAACAAATCTGTGTTTGTGCATCAGTGTCTTTATTTTATGTTTTAGGTGCAAAACTTCTTTGTAGGAAACTTATCCAAGATGTTGGCTAATCAGTTTTTGTCAGTTGTATGTTATACAACATGCAGGATCACAGAATGAAAGAGTGACCAAAAAACTCATTCATTAATGATTAGCTCTATGGAACTAAAAGTCTATTAATGAGGAGTCACTTTGATGGAATCAGTTCCAGAGGTCCTCTTTTATTCTTTTTTTAATCGAATCCCAGCCTTACAGAAAATAAATCATAAACTCATATTATGAACATTTTCAAATTTAAAGGCACAATATGTAAGATTTTTTTGTTAAAATATCCAAAAACCACTAGAACAGTGTTATATATTTCGCTGACACCCAAATGTTTCGAAGAATGTTTAAATCCAGAGAAATAAGCAATTTTAACTAGTGACACGGACCGTGTCTATAGTGTCATTGTGTCGCCTGCCAATGACGTCCTAACCCCTCGATTTCCGGTTTTGTTTTGTAGAAATCATGGAAACACCAAAGATGCTGTAATATGCTATGCATTTTATTAGACAGGTGACGACTGCACAGAGAAGCATTATAACAGAACGTTCAAATGTATCTAGTATGATAAAACAGCGCTGCTTACTTCCGCTGCTTTCCGGAAGGAGCAGGAGTGGTCGACTGTGGCATAATAAAAGCTCCGCTGCTTTCGAGCCGTGTGTCGCGCTCGTTCAGCAGCCTCGTTTTGCTTCGACGGCTTTCCGCCTCTGCTTCATACTACGACGTTAATAAATCTTTAATACATTAGCTCATCCATGAACATGATTTCTGCCCGAGTCCCGTTGGATTGCATCGGCTGTGTGGATGAAGACGACAACTCCCATGATTCCACACTCAGTCACGGCGTCATCAAACTACACCTTTGATTCTTTGTTTGTTTTGAATACGCGCCCTCTAGTGGCAAAAAATTACATATTGTGCCTTTAACCTTTTTATCGGGTCAAAAATGAGTCAATAAGTCAATTTTGTTCGTTTTTACTTATATTTTTAAAGGGATAGTTCACAAATGAAAGGGGGGGCAGGGGGCTCATCATACTTGTCATGTGACACACAGCAGCCATGATAGCACTGTAACTGATATAGGCTTATGTTTTATTTTTTTATTTTTTTTATTCTAAATATTCCCAAACTAATGTCTCTATTCTCAAATATGTGTAAGTAAATGCATTTTGCACCTTTATAGATTATGTTAGTTGATCTATAATGGGCGATGAGCTAAGTAGCCTAATAGTGTAATCTATTGACTACGCAAAAAAAAACTGTCTTTTTACTTGAGTACCAGATATGGGTGTCTTGCCATAAAATATTTTTAATACAACTGACTTTGTATTTAATGTGAATTTAATAAAAACATTGCAAGTTACTAATTTTAACACTTTCGTTGTACAGAAAGAGAGCAAAGAACATTTACATTATCAAAGATAATTGTCAAAGATAAATTATCAAAGAAAGTTTTGATTGACTTCAGTCTAGACAGAGTTCAAGCACTCTCAAAAACTCCCATTATAGTCACTGAAGCTGTTTACACTGTGAAATGAATATCTTACATCATACGCACATGCACTTTGTTTCTGACGAGAGAATTCCCCAGAGAATTCAGTCCGCGAGTGCGTGCAGTGAACAAAACACCGGCGTTTCAGCGATGACTCATCTGAACGTCTCTGATTGGTCATTGCATTCATAAGCGCAACAGAATCATGTGTGATTGGTTATAATGCCCAGCGCTGTAAAAATGCGTCTGTCTCTGGCTCAGCGCCAGCCAGTCAACGCAGATTTTAATTTAGCAACTAGTGATGTGTCGCACACGTTCTAATCACACTGGTGTGATTGAATCAAATATAAATATATTATTCGGCTATTTTTTTTTTTTGTCTATTTGAAGCTGCATTCAAAATCCACTTGGCTCTAAAATCTGAGGGTGTACATGCCCCCTCAGTTTGAATGGGCATGACGCCTCTACCCTCAGGCCATCCAAGATATAGGTGACTTTTTTCTTTAGTAAGACAGTTAAGAAGATTTTTAGGTGAAACTGTGGTCATTGGTGATTCATAAAATTCAAGTCAGCAGCTGCATGTATTTGAGAATATATAACATATCAGGGATGCAAAATTAATATGTGGCTCCTGCAGATATATTGAGGTCTTATGAAGCGAAATGATCAGTCTGTGCAAGAAACTGAACATTATTTACAATTATTATCTGTAATGCATAGCCTCAGGCAAACAGTCTGGAGTGATGTCCGGTTCACAAATGAATCATTCTTTTAAACCTTTTTTTTTTTTTTTTTTTTTTTTGATGAGCTATTGAAAAAGTTCACCAAATCAGACTGAACCATCTGAAACAGTTCACAGTTCGAGTAGGACAGATCTACAATCAAAACCACTCAATCAAAACTTACTTTCAGACGGTCACTCCTATTCGAAATTAACCGATATAATCCTGTGATGCTGGTTTTGACAACTTCAGCGCTCCAGTTCCTCCAACAGTACACTAAACTGATGAAACAGTTCCGACTCGGATCGATGAGCCAATGATACGCATATGCATGAACTGAGCACTTAAATAAAGGTGTGATATGAATGTTTTATGGTTTCTCTTTATCTATATAAAAAGGTGAACTGATATATGCACTTCATTTGCTTTAGACATGTAAAGCATCCGCATTTCACATCTTTATTGGGTGCTTTAATAATGTAATTGCGTATAAACTAGTGAACTGAACCAGGTTATTGAAACCAACTGTCCGAAAGATGGATTACAGTTAATAATGTTCTAAATAATTTTCAGTTTCTTGCACAGGCTGATCGTTTCGCTTCATAAGACCGTATTGTCAGGAGCTACGGGTATTAATTTTGTGTTGCCTGATATGCTTTTTTTTTTATTCTCAAAGATGTTCAGCTGCTGACTTGGATTTTATGAATCACCAAGGAGCACAGTTTCAGCTAAAAATTTTCTTAACTGTTCTACTAAAGAAAAAAGTCATCTGTATCTTGTGAACATTATCATTTTTAGGTGAACCATCCTTTTAAAATCTTGTTGTAGACTCTTGCATAAAAAAACAATTGCAATGCATTTTTGACTGACTTGGTCAATCAGTTGCACTAACTACATTTTGCATACGCTGGTCCTTCTACTAGGCAGGCACTGAACCAGTATTAGTAAAATGGTCTTTTCTGCAGAGCTGCGTATTTGTAAGAATGTTTGCCAGAGTCAACTCCCTTCTCTTAAACATTTTAGATCAGGCAGCTGCGTGGACAACCCTCCAAGTTCCAGAATACCAGTGGTGGCGTTTATCAGGACCTATGTTTGGAAAGCCCAGCGTCTGCAGAAGGTGATTACCTCAGTTCAGACGAGGACCCTCTTCAGAACCTGCCTGTGAGCTCCCTGTACCCGCACCACTCTTCACCTCATCTGGACAGTCAAGGCAGCACGGACAGCGACGGCGAGGAAAGGAACCCCATTCAAACTACCTGCCAAGACCCTCTGCTTAACCAGCAGCAGCTTTACCCGGGCATGGTGTGCACCGAAGGACTTGAGAACTGAGTTTGCTTGAAATGGTGAGACGGGACGGACGGAATCCTTTAGGAATAGACTGCACAAAATGCACACATATATAGCGAGAGCGAGAGATTATGTACATTCACCCAGAAGCTGTCAGAGGTAGGGCAGGAAACCGATGCATAGCGTGACACTCTCATAGCATACTTCGCCCTCACTCGAACTGTGTCCGAAACTTGAAAAAAGGCGCCTTTGCTAAGGCACATCCAAATCCAGCATTTGCCTTCCATCTGTTTGACTTATAATATCTCCACAATCTTGAGCGTTCAGTTTGGCGGTTAGTGATAAAATGACATCTGATGAAGAGATTAGAAATACAAGAATACATAAATACCTGTTTTTTAAAACTTAAGTTTACATTCTACACAAAAATTACATTGTAGTCACTAAATATTTGATTTGACTTGACAGCTGCTTTCAAATTCGGACACAGCCTCTATGTCTCTCTCTCTCTCTCTCTCTTATACTTTCTCTTTGTCTTTTTGTCAGTGTGTCTGTTGCACAGTTCTTAAACGTATTGTATTTCTTCCCAGGACTAAATTTGGAGTTCTGTGTTACAAAACACATAGAGAAGTCAAACTGTCCTCTTCTCAGAGTGCCAGAAAGTTTGGTCATTTTTGCCATTTTCTCCTTTCAGAAAACAGTGTGGCCTTGAAACTACCTCTAATTTAACCAGACACTCACTCAATCCCTGTGAGCATACCAACTTCACCAATACAACAGCCATCTGGCTCGAAATGAGGTGACAGAGGAGAGAAAAAGCAAGCAGGATACACATCTTCGGGTACACTAAAAGTTTGCAGCATTCTATCAAATCTTTGGCTTAGGAAATCATTGGATTGTCTTTGTCACACTAAGTAGGCGTCAAACGTAGGGACCATCTCTACTGTTTCTTTAGAGGAAAGCAGCAGATTTTGTGCTTTTCTCAACCTGGATGTTCTTCGTTTTTCTGTCTTGTTCCTGTGGAGGATGTGTCCTTGTTCCGGTGGATGTGCACTTTTTATGTTTATCTCAAACGCAACAGACACTACAATCACTTTAATGAGAGGTGAAGGCTGAAGGAAAGAAAATAAGAATGAACAAAGTCTTATTATATAACGTAATAGGGATGTTAATAGTTACATACATAGATGCATATTACCGTAGCTCATCCATGTATTTGTGTGTGTTTTATACAAAACAAAGAAAGGTGATCAAAATTTTGGATGGAGAAAAATCCATTGCTTAAGAACTATTGTGTCAACATTGCCAAATGTTTTTTTATGTTATTTATGTTTATTTCTTTTATGTTTTTTTAAATAATGTTAATGTACTTCATGCATACAGAGGCCAAACTATTTAATTTATACTATACTTCTGTGCCAATCCTGAAAAACAGCATGAAGCTAAAACTACAGGGTCTCCAGAAAAGAGATTAGTTTAAAAATGGATAAAGAACAGTAAAACAACTGCTGCTATGACATATCTAGTTAGTAATTTTATTATTATTATGATTATTTTTTTTTATAATTTTTACTCCCATGTAAGGTAGATCTATAAAGCAAAGATAAACTGTGAAGTTATTATTGACTTGGCGCTTACCAGCAATGAGTTGCCTAGATTTGTACACTACATAAATACCCTCAAGCAACTATGTGATATTGATTGCATTTCACATTTCAACTGTTAACCATCTTAAGAATTTATCCTGATTTTTATGGGTTTGTGCTGATTCAAAAGCAACTTCCTGAAGCATTTCTGAAGACTGTAGCTCTTGGTTGTTAAAGAAAGTCTTCATTTGTAGAGCTAAAGCGTGTTTGCGTTTGACTGAACTACAGAAGGTTTACAAACAAACGTAACTACTCAACTAAATTACAGTTAATTCAAACTGTTGCGAGATTTTGTGTATATACATTATATTATACAAATATTTCATACTTGTAACAGTTTTCTTCCTTTTAATCGAGTTTGGTCACTTAAAAAATTTTTACCCACAATTTCGTAACCTGTCTTGAAGACTTCCATCTAACTCAGTACTGTCTACGATGCTGTGTTTGTCTTACCACACATGGTACATCAGTGTCATTGCCTTTCCCCACCACTGCCTCATTTTGCTAAAGCTCGTCGGTCCTTGCATTTATCAGACATTCTACATGTTTACATGACTTTCGGAGAGCGATACATTGCCGACATTTGCACCCTTTACTAGTTATCGACAAAAACCAGTGAGAAGCTGCTCTCAGTCATATCTCTGACAGTATGATGCATTACAAGACATTGGAGTTTTGGGGAGAAGTATTTACAGGATGTGCTGTATATGACATGAAAACCATTTAAGTGTGTTCATAAAGCATATCTCCTTTTGAGTGGTTGTAAGTTCTCAAGGTAGCCTGGGGTTGCTGTTTTAACATACCACAGTGTTTTATTGACTGAAAATTGTTTTTGTTTTTTTTTTGTCTAATGAAAAATTGTTTGTGTGGAATAGCTTGTGGTAGAGTTGCTATTTTTCCCTTGATCAAACCTGTAATGCCCTCATCACTGATTAAAAAAAAAAGAATGAGAAATGAGAAATAACTGTGAATTGAACTCATGATATTTTATGCATGTAGACTTTTATGATTTTAATGTTGCTTCATATTGCACTACAAATGAAAACTAAACCTCTAGCATCGTCTCTACTAGGGCTTTACTCTGATTTAGAACATCCTTCCTGTTCCCCAGTGACCTCTGTAACATTTAAAACCATCCACAAAACCGGTTTCAGAAGTGTGTACCGTTTATAAACCCTGTTCTTTACAAGAAAAGCAGCAAGTAAAGGAAGTTGCTTTGCACCTTTAATTTCTTGCTGGTCTTTAAAGGGAAAACTCAGAGGGTCCCAGAAGCTGAAAGACTTTATCAAGCAGTTGTTGTACCAACATTTGTTCTGGTTTGGGGCTGTTGGATTTCAAATAGTCGAAGGAAACTTTCTTCACAACTTGATTACAAATCACAACGGTTTTGTGGTGCGAGTTGTAGCTTCTGAAGAATATTTGCTAATAGGAAATCAGAAAGGGCTGTTTTGAAACGAACTTGGAATTAGAGTTGTTATTTAGAGACTTGATTTTGTTTAAAACAAGAAGTCAGTCTTATTGGGAAGGCTTTTCCAAGCTTGTTTATTGTTACCCGACCAGGAACGTACCATTTTTAGATTGTCAATGAGTGGCTAATATGGTCAAACATTTCTGTCTCACATTGAGCTCTAATTTTAATCACCCTCAGAATGGCTGAATTATGTTCTAATCAGTGGAAGAAAAAAAAAGATGAATGAAAAATGCTACAGTGATTAATAATATCAGTACTTTGTGGTATTATGAGTCAGTTTTCCCTGCATAAAGTCTATCATATATCTCAGAAACACTATATCACATTTTCAGTTGAAGCTGAATATTTTTATGTACTGTTATCAGAAGTTTATTTTTTTTATGGCAGTTTTTATCTCACTCTTTTTTTTGTATTTTTCTTTTTTGTTCTTGTTGCTTGAAGGTTGCCATGTAAGCAGTGATCATAATGAAACCCCGATTGGTTTCATGAAAGATATGTTGTAGTTACAGTAGACAACCTAACTACAACAAAATGCATAAATGACACTTCTATGCATGAGGTTTGAAGAAAATCACTGTTCAACAGAACACTGTATTATTTAACGCCTCCTTTTTTCTTAAGTAAACGTGGAGATAATTTGGGAAAATAATATTTGTATATAGCGCATGTAATGTCATTCAAGTGTTACAATCATACAGAAAAGGTTCTTACTGTATGTACTGTATTCAGTGTTTTCATTCATATGTAGTTTGACTGCTATCTCAAACGCTGTGTGTATCAAAACAGCAACCCCAAAAGCAGAGGTCAATATTTCATACACACCACATTATGCTTTCAGATGTAGCCATATTAAATAAATGGCCAGTGAGGGCATGAGGTCATAACGCAGAGGCTGATGTGACATCACCTCCTCTATAGTGCTCCAACAGCTGCCTTACCTCCTTTCACCAGTATACGTAAATGTCCAGTAGTCTCCCCATGACACCCATCAGATCACATCCTCTCTCTAGTTTTACTGATGTGTTATTAAGAATGACAGTACTAAAGATTATATAAATGGCAATGTTATCAAATGATGATCCAGTGTTCTGTATTTGATGATAAAATGTATAAAAAAAAAAAAAACATTTATGCTATACATTTGCGAAGTTCAGATTTTGGTGTCATGCGTATGTATTATTTTCAGAATCAGAATCAGAATCAGAATGAGCTTTATTGCCAGGTATGTTTACACATACGA